TGTATAGATTGAATTTTTGAAAATTTTCAAAGCAATTTTGAATTTTGGTATAAATTAAATAAAAGTAAAAATAACAATTTATATTTGAAATAAATGAGATTGTTCCTATATATTATACTTTATCCTTATTGTTCAGTGACAGAATATTTAGTCTCCTGTTTTACTTATGAGGCTCATCGATGTCTTGCATTTCTACTGACTTCGATTCTTCGACAATGTCAAAGAAAGAGAATTCATTCAATTTCATATTAATTTATGGAATTAAAATATATCTTATGTAATCTTATTTTCAATAATATAATTTTTAACTGATACCTCTTTTATCTTTGTGCATAGGAAAAATATACAATAAATACATAATAAAGTCCTCTTTGACTTTTCATATTTAATAAAAAAACAATCTCTTTTCTTTCGTACTAATTAAATAAATATCCACAGTTTATTAATTATACATATTCAAAAGTCACGAATCTTGTACGTCTAATCCACACATCCCAACCTTCCATCCAATACTGGTATTGGATCCAATTAGAGCCCCCTTTCGTATGGAAGCATATGATCGCACGATTTAAATACAATCGGATCCCTAAAATTGCGATCGATCTTTGCAAATCGTGTCGAGGGAAAAAAAAAAAAAAAACGAGAAGGAACGAAAAATTAAACTGTTGAGGGGAGGAGTATAGGTGGGCAATATCGCGTTGCGTGGCATCATCTGGCGTGGAATACGCGATGACACGGATCAACGGCGGGCAAAAGGATCCCGTTGCATGGCTAATATAATGCAATCATCGGCGTGTAATGATCGGGGCACAATGGCCGCCCGTGCGAAATGGCTTCTTCTTCGTGTTCCTCCGCCGGTTTTTCCGTGACACCACGTTTGTAAAAGCCGATGACGCGTGAAATTAGCGAGCATTCATCAGCAAGGGGAGAGGTATGCTCGATTATCGCTTTATGTCCCGTAAAACGAGACGGAAGGAAAGTGAAAATTAGGGAAAATTGGGGCCTGGATTTCCATTGGGACGTCTCTTCTTCTTCTCTTTTTTCTTTTTTTGTATCTTCTTTGGAGGAAGATTTTCAATTTCAGTTTTCAATTGATGGTCAGGTTTGGAAATTTATAAATGTAAGTAGTTACGGAATACCTTAAAATATCTTGAAATTTTTATTAGGAACATTGAAATATCATATAATTATCCTCCCTTTCAAACTTTAAAGCAATTAAATTTGATTTTGTAGGGGAGGACAGGATGGAATTAAGCAAAATAAAATATTGGGAGAAATACATATAATTCTATTTTTTATCTCTTAAATTTAACGTGGTAGTAAATAATTTTTGTAATCAGATTCGACACACAAAGAAACAGAATCTTGCCTATGCATTTTTCACATAAACGTGTAAAGAAAAAACAACATAAATTACAATAATTTACTAATAAGTACGTATATAAAATTTGAATATTTATATCTCATCTCGAGAAACGTAAAAGGTGTATCGTTTCATCGAAAGTAAATAAATACAAGATAGAAGAAAAATAACGATAATAAAATACTAAAATTAATTAAAATTCTCTGTTAATCTCCATTACGTAAACGAAGAAAAAGAAACATTAATAAAATCCCAAGAAACAATCCGAAACACCAGAAAGAGGATACACAACGAAATAAGTAACAAATAGAAACGTAATACTCGACGAGCATGCCGTGTCACACGTACAATCCCCATTCTCGACATAATTTGTCTCATCGTAAAGTTGACAGTGTTGAAACGTTCGAACGAGCATCGAAGCTCGGATGAAAAATTAGCCTTCCCTGAAACGTTTAGGGAAACTGACGATTCGAGGAAGGAAGGAAGGAAGGAGGGAAGGGAGGAAGAAGACAGAGAAATTGAATAACAGATGCGTTCGAAACGATCGAACAACAAGAATATTCAAGGGAGGGATCGTATGCGAAATTTGGGAAATTTATATTCGAGCCGCGATTACGCGTCTCATGATCACGTCGTGGGGGGTAGTTCGTGGAGAAGTTTTGCAAAATCGTTCGGTGGAAACTTGGCTGGACTTTTCCACCGGTAACCTATCTGATAATGCGTTTTCCCTCTCTTTTCCCTCGCTCACGAGTTCGAAACAAATATTTCGTGAAGGAAATGGGGATCGACGAGGCGTGTACAGGGGGGATGCTTGTGTATAAGAGAGAGGACGAAGGAGTATCTTTTTCGCGGATCAGGAGACAACCTCTGCTGAATATTCTTTTTAACTTCGTAACTAGTGATTTTCCACGTATACATCATTTGTATAAATTAGGCTTTTCACTATTGCTCGGATTTGGCCAAATTTTGAATGTCTATGAATATAAATTAACAGAATTTGAATTTCATTTCGAATACTCGGATCCAGAATTTTATTTATTTCGAATCTTTGAAAATTGGAGTAATCGTGAATATTTGGAGCACTCAGGATGAGTATTCTAACGTACGTAAGAGTACGTAGATATCTTCATTCTTCGGTATCGATATTTTTAAGAAAATTTAGATTTTAAATTTTTCTATTTTCGATATTCGATTTAAAAAATTAATTATTTTAAATTTGTAATTAACTGAAAGCTACTCCATTTCTATAGTCTCTTTTTTTATCATAATAAATATTTATTTCTTCTCCATAAATGAACACGATTCAATCTTCCTAATAAATAATTATTTATATTCAGAAATTTCTTTCGTATATACTCCCCGAACTCAACTCCAAAAAATATTCTTACCATCGCAATTTACCAAACACATCAAACAATTTACTAAAATCCCAGAGACTCAAACTCTGGAATTCGATTCCCCCGGTTCTATACCTCGAACATCCATCTCCTGCAACCAAAGTACTTACACTTCTGTTCGAGGAGGGGTGGAGTTAGTTCGATTTGCAAATGAATTCGCTAATCGCCAAGCGTTAAGCGTTTCAATTCGTCGCGAAGACCCAAACGCGGGCGCGAGTCCATTAATCGAGCACGTCGAATCGCCACATTCGTAATCAGAGAGAGGGAAATAGAGAGAAAGAGAGAGGAGAGCTTCATTATCCGTTAATTGTTGGCAACGATGTAATTTACACCGATTTTATTAGCCGAAACTGACCCTCGCGTAACATAACCTATAACCGTGTTAAATTCACAGAACAAGTGAAAAAGTGGGGCACGATGAAGACACGAAGAAGACGCATAATGATTTTCTATCAAAAGAAAGAAAAGAGAAGTAATATGTAATTTCTATCGATTTTATTATTATCAAAATTGACTTTCGTGTAACATAACCTACAATCGTGATGAGTTACGTAAGATACTAGGATGCAAGAGTATATATGATAGAGACAGGAAGATGAGATAAAATAAATTTATATTCGTTTTATTAATTGAAACTTTGTGTAACATAATTTATAAGATGAAGATTTAAAAAGAATTTAAAAAATAAAGAGCATGCAATGAAGAAACGGAATAAAATCGATCGATGGTAATTATTTACATTTATTTTTACCAACTGAAATTGGCTATCTAACATAACCTATAACCACTTTAAACAGAATATCGGAAAAATACGATAAAACAAACGAAGTAATGATTTTCAATAGGAATAATGAGACGAAGGAAGATTTATCGATTTTATTAATTAAAATTACATTAACATATTATCGTATTCCGAAGATTGTGAATTGCGATGAGTTCGAATGAGAAAGAGCACGTGGAAGGACGTGGTGGAGGCACAGAGGAGGTGCGTAATGACTTTCCATAGGAGGAATGAGATAAAACCGAACGATAGAAGCCAGTCCTTAACGAGAAATTTATGCTCTACCGTAGCCACCAAGCGCGGATTAGACCGACGGAAACCGCGATTCTTTTCGAATTATATCCAAAGCGAGATGGAGGTTATGTTGCGTGCGTATATGGATTTATATACTTATATTGTATATACGGTAAACGCGTGAATACATTTATGCAGGCAAATGGATTTTAAATTGCAAATCATGTGATGAAATTAACTGTATTCGACTCTGTAATTCTCAACACTGCAATTGTCATTCGCAAGATGGTGTACGAATATTAGTTCTATCGAGGGATTTATGATAGTCTATCGTTGAATTTATATTGTGCGGGGAAAGAAAATTTGGAGTGAGCATTTATGAAATTTTTATTATTTTTTATTATTATTGAAAGTTTTTATTATTTTTGAAAGTTTAACTGTGATAGATATTTTTTTTTTTCTATATCCACAGATTAAAATTAAAATTATCTTCTCAAAATGTTTATTACAATAAAATAATGAAAAAATGTAAAATATATATAGATAAAAATGATTAATATTTGAATATCAAGATTTATTAAATATTTTTATTACCAGAATTTTCAGATAGAAGAAATATTATCTGAACGAAAACGAAAACGTTTTGAGATTGATTTCAATTGTGGATAAAATAATATGTTTCGCTATATCAATGCTTATATATACATATTATAAAAGATCTTATTTAAACAAAGAATCGACAGATTATTTTCCATAATTGAAACAGCGATATCGAGTGTCATAAAGTGCGCCATATGCCGTGTCTTCATGAAGCGTCGTGCTTTTATCGCGTATCATTGTCTCTATATTATTATTATATGGCTCTGTATTGCGATCATTTAATAAGGATTATTACAAGAATCGACCCTAATAGATTCGTATCGTTTTCAATTGCGTCCCATTTCCCTGTCTTTAATTCTTATTCGTAATAATAAATAAATCAAAATTAAAAAATTAGCTTCAGAAAAATATTGATTTAAAAATAATTTATTTTCTAAACACGAAAAGATTTACAAAAGATCTTTTTTATTATTTTTTCTTCGATTGCCATTTTATTTTTTATCGTACAAAAAATATCACGAGGAAATAAAAGAAAAAAGAATATTCAATTATATTTTCATTCTTTTTTTTTTTTTATTTTCTAATCTTCTAATTTTAAAAAATTATCTTCGGAATATACGTGGAATCCAAGATTATCGCGTTTTTATTCAAAACGAAAGAGAAAAAAATATCATTTAACTAGATCTCATTCTCCTTCTATTTTCCTCTTCCTTTTATTAACTTTTAAAAACTATCTGTGTCTACTTAATACCGGTTCCAAGAGACACAAGCTATATAAATTATTCAAAATAATAGGAAAAGAAATTTGATCGATGTAGCAGCAAATCGAGCGAAACTAATCTTCCAGAGTGTCCCAATAAGGAAAAATATCCACGCCTTATTATTCCTCATCCCCCTCGTCTTCAACTCGGAAAGGAAACGATTAAAATACGAGAGATCTTTTTTTAAAAAAAAAAAACATGGAAAACAAAAAGGGAAGAGTCCTCCTCCATTCCCTCCTCTTACCAACGAAAACATCCCACCACGTACCTAAATTCAGAAATAAACTTACCGGTAATATAGTCCATCCGACGATAGCTCGTCTCACGAACCACCCCCGAAATCAATATGGAGGATACCATCGGATAGCAACATATACCAATAGTAACATCAAATCTCTATCGACCCCTCCCCTCCCCACGGTGAAATCCTCCCTCGTTCAAAACAATTTCACCATTTCGGGAACGGATGCTCCTTCACCGTTCCATTATCCATCGATTCGAAAACCGGAAGCGGTTGTACGGATCCTCCATCTATATATACTTTCAAGAGCAACGATTTCCAACGAGACGAGGACTCCTCCTCTCTTCCTTCCCCCCCCCAAAGAGGGGAGGAATAACTGCATAAATTATTCATTCCCTCCCTCCGTTGGAAAACGAGCGAAAGGTTCGGTTGGCTCGATCATTAGATTGGTCGAACGCCAGGCCAAGATCCTGAGCCGAGCAGCTCCAGAACAGTATAAGGCATCGAAAGATGGTGGGAGAAAAGGGTGGTGGGTGGATAAGGATGGCAGTTAGTTACGTGATCCCCGTGGCAATGATTTAACCGAATTCTCGTTGACACGTGCATCGCCATACGTACACGTAGGGGAGGGGGGGTTGGAACAAGCCAAATGGACCATCGGGAGCAAATAACTCGATTTGCTCGGTCTACGCGTCTACTTGACTGGCTGGTGAGCGAGCAGGAGACGGATCCGGTAGGGAGGATCACCGTCCTGCGGAGGATTGACTGCGAGAGGAAGAAAGGTACGAGAAAGAGAGAGAGAGAGAGAGAGAGAGAGAGAGGAGGGGGGAGGGTGCACACGCAGCCAGGATGGAAGGAAGCAAGGGAGCAAAGGAAGTTATCGAGGCGGTAGTGTCACCATAGTCATACAGAGGTGCCCAGTTGTCGAGCAAACTAGCGGAGCCAGTCAGCCAAACAGCTCGAGCCAAGCCAGCTCTCTGGCCGGCCAGCCAACCAGCCACCGGCACCCAGTAAGCGGAACCAGCACAGTTCTTGTTTTATTCAGTCGGGATCATAAATTACGAATTTAAACACACAATGAAAGACGCTTAACAAGAAGCTAACGCGAGATTGAGAGGCCCCGCCCGGAACACCTCTTCTTCCAGAGAGGCGAACGGACGCCGGCCAATCCGAAAGCAGAACCGCCCTTCGACGCACCACCCGACCCACCGTTTCCACGCCAATCCACAACCGAGGCAGCCGGGGCAACGGGATGGAATCGACCTATCGCCGCGCCGCTTGAACCCGAAACCCAAACCCGAACCTAACCCGAATCCCCCTCCCTCCTCGACGACCATGCCTCGAGAGGAGTTAAGTCGTCGCGGACACGGTGACTCCCCGATGCACCCCAGTCGCGTACCACTTGGCGAGCCGAGTCCCTCGGCTGTCTCACCCTGCTTCTTGGTGTAACAGTGTCCACGGTGTTGTCCTCGGGCGAGATTTTTTTTTTTTTCCCTTCTTCATTGAAAGAGTGATTAGGTAGGGTATATATATATTCGGTGTATTCGTCTTTTTTTGGGGGGGGAAGAAATGGACCAATTTTCCTTGAAGGGGATGGGGTGTAATTGGTAAAAGTTGTACGTCTATACGGAAAGCAGCCGTCCAATCCAAATTTCGAGAGAAATTTTTTCGAGGAGTTGTGAAAACTTTGAACTGGTGAACTTTGGAGGATGAGAATTGTCGAATCGTTGCTGCGGTGGAAGAGATTGGCCAGAGTTGTATCGGACTTTGAGGAAGGGAGTCGGTGATAGGAAATTTGGAATTGAATTATCTTGTATATCTCGTTGTGGTGGGAAGAGATATATAGGAGGAAGGAAGGAAGAAAAGGTTACAGAGGGGATATTTAAGGAAGTTACGACGCTCGAGGAGATCGATAAGATAGGATGGATCAGAATCAACACGGTGGTCGATAGAGTTACCAGTTCGAGTGAGTGAGAATTAAACTTTGAGAGTTATCTTTCCATCGAAGGAAAGGTTTCGTTGTCGCCAAAAGATCGTGGAAAGAATTATAAAACTTTGGCGAAACGTTTTACGTTTTACACTTGATAATTTAATAACAAATTAAATCCATCCATATAAAATCTTGTATTACCAAAAGATCACTTAAACGGAATTCGAAACAAGGATGTACCAGAAGAAGCCAAGAAAGTGATCGCCAGTGACATAATAATAATATACAATCAACATCGAACGTTGTGAGTGAGCATGTCGAGTGTGCATCAGTGACCAAAGCGTGACCAAAACGAAAGTGAACAAAATCCATCCATCCTTCTCAAATCCCACGAGACGCACCCCTCCCCCAACCCGGTTTCAATCCCGGTCGAAATTTTCCGCTCATTGCCGAACTATGCGTGGTGCGAGATGGTGTGTTCTCTGACCAACAACAACAACACCAACAACAACAATAACAACAACAACAATAACAGTGGTAAAAGCTGCAACGACACCGGTGGCGAGCCGTGCACGGACTTGCGATCCAGCCCAGAGGCGCAGCCGGGCGAGAACATGTCGTCGTTGAGCGACGCTCACAGGCGGAACAGCCACTTGGAAGGCGACAGAAGTTCGTCGGCAGGCTCCTCTCTGGGCTCGTGCTCGCCACCACCGGCCTCGAGCCACTCTCCACCGCCTCCCAGGCCGCCTTGGCTGCACGATTTCCACGCGGCGGCCGCCCCCCACGTCCTCCAATTCTTGAACCTGAGCGCTGCCGGGGGCAGCATGCTGGCCAGCCAGCCTCTCGCGGCGTTGCACTCGATGGCGGAGAGGAGCCACCATCAGCAGCATCAACAGCACCAACAGCACCAACACCAACAGCAGCAGCAACAGCAGCAGCAACAGGCCCACCACCATCATCATCATCAACAGCAGCAACAGACAGGGGGCATACAGTTGCCGAGGATCAGCGTCCCCTTGTCCACGATCACGCAGGGGCAGGCGTCGCCAACGGGGAGCGGGAAGCACAGCCCGGCAACCTCCATCACCTCCGTCGGGAGCAATCCGCACGGCATCGACACGATATTGTCGCGGCCGGCGGCCACCCATCCTCAGGCACCCGTGTCGGCGACGCACGCCGCGCTTCAACCGACGCCGCATCCGCAGCACATGACGGCGCCTCGGTACGGGATGCACGCGGGATTCACCGCTTCGTCGGGTTCGTATCTTTTATTTTTATTTCCCTCCCTTTTTTCTTTTTTCTTTTTAGAAGGATTTAGGATGAAGGATCGAGGGTTGGAAGGAGGGGTTGAGGGGGTGGGATCAAGAATGGATGTTTAGAAAGTGATGGAATAATTATTCGGATTTTTATGGAGGTACAGGTTTGGGGAATTTGAAGAATTGGTTTAGGTGTAGGTTTAGGTGGTTGGAGGGGGTTGGGATAAAGAGATGTTGAGAGAGGGAAGATTGGAAGTTTAAAATTAAGGGTATAAAATGGAATAATTATTTGTATTTTTAAGTTAGGGAGTTAATTAATATAGAGTGTATTTGAGAAGTAAGGGTAAAGATAAAGATGTATAATTTAGAAAAATGGAACTAGTTACTTGTATTTTTAAATTAGAGGATTTAATTAATTAATGTGAGAGTAGAGCATTTGGAGAATGAGAAAAATATCTACATATAAGATTCTATCAAATGAAAATGAAGAATATAATAGAAATAAATATAGATGCACAAAATGGGAAGATAGAATTGTGAGAATAGTTTTATTGGTTGGATTTCATTAAGATGTGGAAGAAAAATTGGAATGGGTTGCACGTATATAAAACAGAAAAACAGCATTGTAAAAATAGTTTTCTCGTTTGTAAGATATAGGGCTAATTGATTAGGTGGAACGTTGAAGGGATTAGGGTTTAAAGATGTGCAAGTGTATAATATAGAAGGATAGAATTGTAAAAATAGCGTTGTTATTTGTTGAGATTTAAAAGTTGGAATTTGGAAGGTTTAGAAGTGATTGATAAGGATTGTATATAAAGGGTTACGAATGTGGAGGACATTTTGATAATTAGTATTCAGAGAATGTACAGTGTACAGTATGGAAAAAGATAACTGTTTAAAGAATATACAGATAAAAAGATTTTGTACAGAATAAAAATATTTTCATTGCTTCTTATAGGATTTAAAAGTATTTGAAATATTTGTAGGATTGATTGATAAAAATTATAAAATGAAAATTAGATTCGTGGAAGATACTTTAATATGAAGAGGTGTGTTAAAATGTAAGATTGTAGAAATATTTTTGTCGCTTATGAAAATTACAGGAATGCGATTAAAGAATTATAATTAGAAGATAAGAGTGATAAGATATATGATATATTTATATTTATTTTAAAATTGGATTACGTGTTTAGCTTTCAAACACAAAATAAATAGAGAGGAATTTATAGATGATTAATTCTGTGAATCACTGTCACATTTTATTATAAATTTATAAAGATTGTCGGCCTATAAAGAAGAAAAAAAAGGATTACGTATATTTTTCAAAATTATAAATAGTAGTTTCGGAATAAATTAGATTAGAATTTATAGTCTTCGTTCTCATATATTTTTTCTTGTTGTTTTGTTGTATCTCTATAATTAAACGAAGAAACAAACATCAATTTTTTAATTACAATCATAGAAAATCAATTTTTCAATAGTTAAATTACATTTTTAGTATTTTCCCTTTTATTAAATTTTATTAAATTTTTGTTCAAAATTACAAATTTATTCTTCAATATCTATAAAATTGTTCAGAAAAGTAAGTAAATAGATAAGTAAATACGTGGATTTATATAAGTTAAAGTAAATTATAGTTAAATGAAAGCCTGGTGAACTATAGATATAATTTTTATATCACGATAAAAATCGGTGATTAAGTAGTTTTCATTGGCGACAATAATTTGTAAAAAAATTTGATCGAAAGAACACACAGAATTCATTTTACACGATTTTTATTCCAATTTATACATTGCTTTCGCGGATATTAATTTCGTAGGAATTAATTTCAATAAAATGAAAAACGTCAGCAGTTACAGATTTATAATTTGACCGATGGGTATGATCGATCGTGTCGACAATCGAAGAATAAAAATGATCCCCGTCCGCATGTAATATTAGAGATTTAATACGATATTTCATTCGACTTAAATTTTGATCGATCCTTGCAATTATTATTATTGCCAATAATAATCTTATTTTATTTAGATTCTCAAAATTTCTTTCTCTTACGAGTTTCTTTTACTTTAAATTGCAATCTGTACAAAATAACAATATTTATAAATGAATACAACAATTCGGTAATAAATGGACGAAATAAAATTTCCAAGATATGAATTAGTATATTGATACTTATATAACTAAGATACGCGTTCCTGTTTTTTTTGAAAACGAGGATTAATATTATTTAAAAGAAATTACTGTACATTCTTTGACGTATTATTTATAACAAGATGTCTCTTTTATATTTATTTATATCCTTAACGTTGTATTATTAGGTTTTATAGGAATTGAATATCCATAGTAAATTTTCTTTGATTTTAAATTCAAATAAAAACGTATAGATTCGTTTAACATAAAGCTCGAAATTCTTTTTCAATTTCTCGATTTTCTGTTTAAAATTTCATGTTTTGTCGCTGGTTCATATCTCTTTTAATCTTGATCGATATCAAGATTATATATTAAAATGTAAACAGGAATAGAATTCTTTAATGTCAAATTTCTCGAATCGAAATACAATTGTTTTGATTTCTCTTTGATTTATTTTGCTTTACTTCGTTTATCGAAAAGCATTTAAATACATGTGCTAAATTTTTTTTTTTTTTTTTTTAAACTAATTTTGATTCGAATCCCGATTTTTCAGTGAATCAGTTTTTCTTTTCTATGCATTCGTTCGAATGTAAATTTAAAACGAAACATTCGGTTGTTAATTTTCATTTCCTTTCTTATTAAGAATATTCGTTTTAAATTGTTTTAGTTGAAATTAAACGTGTTCTTGCGCAAATACCGCTCTCTACCCTGTGCACGAGCAATAATCTGTATCTGTCCAGGGGCTCTATCTTGAACTTGATCCCGGATTATCCGTGCATTTAAAATGATTAAAGCGCCAATTATTTACGGCTGCGTCCGTGTCCCGTTATTACGTAGACGAAATGAAAGTGAATTTCGAATAATTTTCCAAATGATCGGATATCATTATTCACGATGGCTGACGAACGCCATCATAAATTTATTGAAATTTTCGTTTTACATTTTTTTATCGGTAAAATGTCAATTCGGGAATAATAATTTGTTTACTATGAAATTAAAAATTTCAAGAGTTTTATATGAAAAATTCGTATATTTCAACGCGTTGAAAATTTTTGTATTAAAATCACGTATATTTATGTATCGAGGAATTTTAATTTTTCACCGTTTTCTCAAATTATATAACCACTTTTATTAGACATATATCTAAACTTTTAAAAAGAATTTATGAAAATGAATACACACGAAAATAACATAGTTTTTTATTTGTATATGGAAAATTTTCTGTATGATAATTTACATTTTAGAAGTAATATGTCGTAAATCGAGTTTTTTGCAACAACGACGATACTAGGCAACGCGGTTGAGCAACACTGTAGACACTATAAAATTGTTTTCCTTTCAATAAAAGAAGAAATCCATGGCGTGGCACCCGTAAAAGCAACCGTGGGGTCCCCAAAGAATCTTTCGCGATTTATATCCGCTGCTGTGCTACTTCTGCCTGTGGCGGACGTTCAAATATCTCCAGGAATCGTTCTCATAATTCGCCATAATGGAACCGGCTATAGTTTTAAAAAAAGGCCACGTTTCGCACGCGCGAACGTTGTTTAAGATCTCTCGATCTTCTTCTCTCTTATCTTCCCTTAATTTACGTTTTTTTGAAAATTAATTATGATAACGAAAATGTTAAATAGAAATGAAAATATTAAAATTAATAATTTATCGTTGGGGATCGTCCTTTTCTTTTTTTACTTCTTTTTTTTTTTTTTTGTTATGTTCAATGATATTTTTTTAATTATTTTTTGAAAGAATAATAATATCTGATCACGAAATATAAATGTGAAACAATTTTCTTTAAAGAATAACAATTATTTATTTAAAATCCCCGTTGTTGTAACATTCAACAACGATTTATGATTTCGAAGAAAAATATGTAAAAATCCAATTGAGCAAGATGTTAAAAATTGAATTATTTATCTTCGTCTCGGATATCTACTTTATTCCCATAAATTATCCAATGACGAGATTCTCCAATAATTTTGAATGCAGAAACTCGATGGCTCTTAAAATCCGACCTTATTCCTGGCATCACGAGCCTAATTCATGAACCCATGAACCCCGGTCACGTGCCCTCCTCGTTCATAAAATGTGTTTAGTATTTCTATGCTGCTCTTGATGGCCGTGCTTTTAAATTTATGGCATTATACTTTATGTGTGTGAGTGTCGCAATATCATTAATAATGGACGTACCAGGCTCGATGAACCCTTCAGTGGCGTGAAACACCCTCGATTCTCACGTTCTGCGATACAACATCGTTAAAATGGCGAAATAAGAGCAACAGGGAGGAGTATAATCACTCGGACTCGCGGTTAAAATTTTCATTTTCTATTTGTTTCCATATTAAATTCCACCTGTATATAAGTTCGAGTAACGATAAGTTGAGAGGAATAGAATTGAAGGAAGAATAAATATTTATATTGTTGATAATTTTAATAAAAAAGTATATTCATACATTCTCAAAAATATTACCTTTCATCATATAGTACTCTTATAGTATTATATATTTTATTTTCAAAACTAATTAAAATAAAAAATAATATAAATAAATAAATATTTACATTCCTATTTGCTTCAATTAAGAATTATTTTATTTGATTATCTTCCGGTTTTGTAGAGATCGAGGTCGACTTTAAGTCTCAAACTTGCCCAACCAAATCGGATAAACGCGTATACTCACACGAACCAAAGTTAGCGTATTTTAGGTTAACCACCTGACGACGGTAGCCAAGTTGGCTAGAGATTTTGATTCGAAATAGCTGCAATGATAAACCGTATCATTGTGATCCAAAAAGGGAAGCCAATTACGTTGTAATTATTCGAAAATATTCAAAATTATAATTTCTCGAAAAAACAATTATCAATTATTAAAACTATCTCAAAAATAAACTATCCTCGATATTCGAGAATCCCTTGCAAAAATGAGATCACACTGTTGAATTAAATTTTATTACAATCGTTAACAAATCCAATCAATCATAAATTCCTACACACGTTACACGTATTCATTGCTAATTAATCCCCTCGCTCTGTCGATAATTACCAAAAATACGGTATCGTATCTCAATTTCTCATAATCAAACAAAATTCCAATTTATACGTATAAATATATATATATATATATATATATATATATATACACCAAGGGTTAACGGACGCTCACCTCCGATTCGAATAATTTTCCCCACCGATAGAGGATAGAAAATGTCGCTAGTACGCTTTTCATCGAGCACGCTGTATAAACATGTATGTATATATCCCGCCCCCGAGTAAAATAGGCGAGCAATGCATGTCGCGCAATACGGAATGCGCAGGTTCGATACGCGTCCCCGTGCGTTCATTCAGCCACCTCTCGGCGTGGCTGCTGCATCTGCTTTCACGATAATTCACCGCCGTTTCACGCGGAACCGGAACACGACGCGTTTAATTTTCCGTTTGCTCGAACATCGTTTCCTGTTTTCGATCGTAATTGGCAAATTTGGAGGGGGGAATTTCGCTTCCTATTTTCCATTCACGCCTGCTTTTGCGTCTATCATTGATTTCTGAAGCTTCGAATCGTTCGTACATAGTTGGTATTGGTCGTCCAATATGGTGGATGTATTTGAATACCTTGGAATATCGTGGAACGTTGATTATACGTGTATATATATTGAAATTTCAATTGTTTCGAATTGATAATGATAATTATGGACGATTTGAATATGGAATGAATTATGCGTTTAAATTCGCGTTTTCCAATGATGTTCGAATTGTGGAATATTCAAAATGATATTAAGTAGGTGTCGTTAATGATTAGAGTTAAATGTGATTAAAATACGTACTCTCAGACTGCTGATTATTCGAAAAATTTGTAATCATTTTATTTGTAATATTCCATTGAAAACAGATAGATTTTTAGAAGTTTAGAGTTAAAACAAAGTAATATTCTCTCCCTAGTTGTTGAATATTACTTTTTACCGATCGTTTGAAAATTTTTGCGATTCGGGAAATGGTTCAGAATTTGAAAGTTTGAATATTCATCGCTTTGAATGGTGGGAAACGTTAGGTCTTTGAAATAGTCGAGACGAATGGAAAAGCTTGGATCTTTGAATATTCGTGAAATTCAAACGTTTGGAAAATTTGTCACGGTTTGAAAATATAAAAGTTTTGAATATTTAATGATTCGAGAATTTAAAAGTTAGTAGTACTCGATATTTAAAATTTTTATATTTCAAATCAAAAATAATATTCGAATCTCTCGTGCTCTTTCGACGGCCAACTCTTCAAAACTTTGTAACTTAACCATAAACACATATCATAAATTGACACAACTCAGTCAATCATCGATTAATTCCATAGAATTTTTTTCAAAAAAACATCTAGTCGCCGTAAAAATCTCCGTTGGAGGTTCGATTAAAAATGAATTCACCGTTTTTCAGAAGCGATCCAACCGTGTTACGACACCGATCTCGAATATTTTTGTTGATGAGCATGCACCAGCGCCCCCATTTTTACGATCCAATAAATTTTATTTGATCCGAACGGACAAAAGTAATAACGATCGTATCTCGCGCGTTGCGTTTCCAATGCTCGTTTCTTGGCCGAGGAGCAACATCGCTTAGGTAGAACACTAAAAACGGAAATAACGTTTTATTGATGGATACGAGATAGAGAGAGAGAGAGAGAGAGAGAGAGAGAGAGTTTGAAAAGATTTTTTAGTGAAAAAAGAAGAAGAAAATAATAGAATTATACGATTTTTCCTCGAACTATTACTAGCCACGATTAACGATTAGATAACGCAACAATATAAGTGAGTTGGAATTTCATAAATCTGATGTGAATCGTTTGATCGAGAGGGATGGAAATAAGAATTCGAAAACGCGATCGATTAAAATTCAAAGTTCAATCTCTTGAAAGGGAAATTTAATATCTTTGTCATACTTTAAGATCAATATTCTTGAATCACGAGTTTGATAATTAATTATACGCGAAATGAATTAATTTAAAGAAAAAAAATTCTGCGATCCGAATGTGAAAAATTGTTTCACAAGAATTCGTGAATTTTCAAACATTTTACAATCGGATGTAAAGAAATTTCGTAATATCGATGATAGGGTTCGATCGTGTCGAGCAGTTTTTGCGAGAGTTGGAAACCTCTCTCTTGTGATTGGATTGTTCGTGGCCACACGCGTCGGGTTGCGGTTCTCCGGCGCTGGCACGATCTCTTTGAAAGATATAGGGAACTGCGAAGGGGATACAAATAACATCACTTTCCTGTTGGAATTTCTTGCTGTCATATTGTCACGCCATTCGGCTGTATAAATCATCGCAATATTCTAAATTCTTGTTACGTTTCCCCAACAAATAATCATTGATAAAAACTGTATTTCTGAAAATATCTGAACGATTCCTCGTTTTATATTATATAAAGTATAATTTTTTTTTCTTCTCGCTCAATCGTAATTTCCTTAACGTTCCTTCAATTTTCAATTTCTTCTTAACCTATATATCGCTATATTCTCCGTTAAAAAAAATATTGGAAAAGAATTTAATATTCGATGAATCTTAAAACATGGTAAGATTTGGATAAAAGATAAAGATAAAAGAAGAAATAAATTGGAGGAGGAGCGAGAAAAAGAAAAGAGGAAGGAAAGAGGATAGTTTCATGGCACGTTTGCTTTGAATGCAGGTATCGGGCAATTTCAACAAAGAACGGAGCCACGGCATCCTGCTGTCTATTGGCCAGGTCTTCAGGGATTAGTCAGTGATCCCCTGGGATGGCGAGCAAGACTGCACACACGTGAGTTTTCTTTCCCTACGAGATGTATTTCGCGTACCACCACGTGTACACTCTTTAGTATGTCCGATCTATTAGAGCAGAGATTGTTCGTGACATTTTGCAAATAAGATAACGAAAAGAACGTGGAAGAGTTTAATCTTTGCGAGTAAGTGAAATATGTCCAGTCTTTCGCGAAAAACAATATTCTTTTTTTTTAAATTCTCGTGGAAATGGTTTCCTTGAAAAGAGCATCCTATTTTTTTATGTTATTGAGTACATTAATTTTGAGTAAAAAAAGTAGATTCTTTTCTTTCTTATAATATATTTTGCAAACGAAAAAATACCAATCTTTCCTTCAAATTTTTAATATTATTATTTGTTTAAAAAATATTGTTTTTCCTTTAAATTAAATAATTGCGAAGAAGAACATCCTCTTCCTTAAACTTACGAATATAAATATTTTTATTTTTATTTTTCATTAGTAAGTAACGCAAATGAACCCTTTCTTTTAACATTTCCCAATATTTTCCATTAATTTCATAATTCCACAAAAGTTCCACAAGAATCCCCAAAGTTTGGAAAGAATCGATCACATGTATTCCCTTGCGACGATTCATACGAGATGTATGAATCTATCGTACATGATTTGACTAATAGAAATAATATTTGTCCCCGAATAGAGGCCCTTCTCTGTGAAAAAACTCGAAAAAACAAGAGAGGAAAGGAGAAAGGGGGGAGGGGGAGGAGAGGAGAAAAGGAAAGGAGGAGGTTGAAAGTGAAAAAAGATTGGATTCAAAACATCGATCGGTAGGTAGGGAGGGATGGCACTTCTCTGCCCACGGGATATTTCGTTTCGCCCGATATTACTACAGATTTGACAGCTGCTCGTGTTTGCTTTTGAGGCGAGGAGATCGGTTGACCGGAGCGAAGAAACACGTGTCGTCGGGGGAAGAAACGTTAAATACCCGTTCATGGATCTAAGAAAATAAGTTTTTTTTATAAAGAAAGGGGCGAAAAGACGAAGATCGACGAATGCTTGAAATTTAACAATTTTTCTTCCGTGTTTAAATAGAAATAAAAATACGATCGTTTGTTTTTATTTTTGTTATTATTAATTTATCGCGTCACATTTTTTTCAATATTTCATTAATCGTTCGTAGAGTCACGGATTTAAAACAAGAAGAGTTGGAGAGTTTCATCGAGCAATATTCTAACTTAATTAGAATACTCGTGGCTACAATGAAAATAAATCGATTTCTTAATTAATTAACAAATCGAATCTCCAAGGAAAATTTGCATAGCACTGATTACCTTCCAAATATCGTAAGAGGATACAACGATTATATCGAAAACATTCTCTACGAAGTACCGATAAAAGCGTCTCCAAAAGTGTCACAATTCCACGCCAACAGACCTAACACCACCCCATAAAGTTGCCGTACTCGCGAAACCTCGGGGAAACTCTCTCCACAGCGATTTGTAAAAGCGATTAAGGGCGCCGCAAGGAGAGAGAAAAAAAGGAAAATCAGAAATACGGAGTGAAAGAACACGCGAGGTCGGTGGAAAGAGAGAGCCATCCCCTTTCGAGGGCATACATCAAGCGCCGCCGGTGGCACATGTGTCGGCACACCACCACCATCACCACCACCACCCAAAACCGAAAACCCGCTTCTGTTTTGGAGGGATGAAACACGCTCCACGGGCAGAAGAAGGCCGAGCCAAAGTTTAAGCGCCCTGCACACTTATCGCACTTATCGCTTCGAGAATTATTATGAGCCGATCTCTGATATCGTATTATCTGTTCACAATCGATGCCGCTTGTTGGCAGCAGAGTTTTACAATCCTTTCGAGGCTAATGATAGAAAGTAATTTTTAACGAAGATCAACGTTGGAATATTACAATTTTCGAAACTGGTCCAAGTATTTTAACATTTTATTAACGTGTAACAAGATACAAGAAATTTAAATGGATCAATCAAAATTTTTGAAACTTTTAACGACAAGTTAAGAAGAAATACGTGTTCATACCATGAATTTATTACATAAGTGGTAAAGTTTGACAATTATATTTTATGTAATCGCTTTCAAGATACCACTATCTTGGAATAACTCGTTCGAATTTATTCCTGATATTAACATCACGAGAATGAAAGAACTAAAAAATAATTACGAATAAGATATAGCTTAGCGTTGTGAATAATGAACGCCTACTATAATTACCATAAATCAATCGCAAGCAAAAAAAAGAAACTATAAAATCGAAATATATCCGTCAAAACGGATATATTTCCTTGTATTAAAAAAAAAAAAAAAAAAGAAGAAGAAGAAAAAAGAAAACCTCAATTTTCACCTCAATTTTTCCCACCTTCCCCAACTTGCAACCCGACTACATCGATATCACAGATTCTCGTCCACGAAAGAGGGAGTGGTACCCTAGAACCAGTGTGCAGGCCACTTAACCCATCGAAAGGAGGAGCGAAAGGGGAGAAAGGGGGGGCAGTAGCAGGAAGGGTGACGAGATAGGATGTAAGTACGCAGGAACGTACGCGTGGATGGGCGTGGACGTGGAGAGAGGAACCGCGCCGTGCGTTGTTGGAACGTGTCGTCTCGGCCACGGATGTCACTCTCGAACGAATATAAGAGGGATACATCCGCCTCGGCGTATCCGGAATATCGTATTCAATATCAACCCTCGTATCCCTGCGAGGCCTCTCCCTTTCCTCGCTCACGTGAATAACTCTCGGCAATATTTTAACTGCGCCTTTCCTCCCCCCCCTCCCCCCGTTATCCCGCCTTTTCTATCATTCCTCCTCTCCTCTCCTCTTCTCTCCCCCCCTCTTTGTTTCTCTTCTCTAAGTTGAGTTACGAGCGGGAATATGGTGGATCGTGTCGATACTACTCCAGTGCTTTATATTCCTGGCTGGTTAGGTCGATCGGTTGCGCAAGGTGGTGGTGGTGGTGGTGGTGGTGGTGGTGGCGGCGGTCCTTGAACGATCGTCGCGGGACATGGTTTATGCGATCCACGGGAACGGTTTTATCTTTTTATTAAATACCTGGACCTTCGAAATTGGTTGGCATTGATGGGGTGAGAGGTGTTACGGGGGGAGGGGAGGGGTATTTTGGGGAGAGGGGGATTCGAGAAGGGGCGGGGATGGATGGGGTGAGATGGATTTCGAAGGTGAAAGGAAAGATGATTTCGATGGATGATCGAAACGGGGATGTGAAATTAAACGCTGGTGAATTTGTTTCGCTGGTAAATTGAGCTCCCCCTTTTTTTTATTTGCCGTTCATCATTTTATTTAGGAAATTGTAATATTTTATTTTTAGAGCTTTTACATATAGGAAACATTTTAACAACGAGAATGGTACGAGAAGCATGTTCGGAAGATGATACAATCGTACATCTAATACATAAAAAAAGTGAATCAAGGATTGATCTCAAGTAAAATGAATTAATATTATTATACATAAATTATTATTCACTGTGTCAAACCACCATTCGCACTTATTCATCATTATTATTATATATAAAACAATCGAGAGTAAATACTGAAAGAAACGATAGAATGAATTTAAAAAATTCTTCTTCTTCTTCCTACTACTTATATGATAAAAAAAAAAAAAAAAATCAAAATACCGAATATAAAATAATTTACAACAAATTCTATCGTATAAGAAAACGAGCGGAGATACGGAAACAATTGAAGAAGACAGAGATATTGAGAAGGGAATGTCGACTAAAATTGGTGGTATGGTAATTAAGAAGGGCAAAGGCAGGAGGAGGCAAAGGCAGCACGCGGTCAGACGCGTTTACTCGCGGCGGCACATGGGCCGAAGGGGGATGATACGAGGCGGATGTTGGGAGGAGGGGGTTGAAAAGGGAGAAAGGGGAGGCGTGGGGTCGTCACAACGGTATGGGTTGTGGGACTTTAATTTAATAAAGCAATTTGTAACGGAATACGGAACGAGGCAATAATGGCCAGTCGGCGGGGAGGGTTCTAATGAGCTGCTTACCGCACTGCTCCACCCTCTAGCCAGCGATCGACGCTACGCGTTTCACGCGATATCCCCTATTCGTCTACTTAGAAACTGCTGCTCAACTCGACTCGCTTCGTATAATTGTATAAGTCCAAGCTTTTTGCGGAAATTTATGCGTGCCAGCCTTTCCCATCGTCACCCCCTGTCAACTCTCTCGAGCAAGATTGATCTTACCTTACGTCGAGGGTGGTGTTGCGGCAAATCTGTGATGATTGTTCGGTCCAAGTTCCGATGGAGGAAAGCATTTTATCATTGCTGTCGATGGATTCGTATTTTGGTATTTTTGAGGGAAGATGATGAAAGTGGTAGATGGAAGTGTGATTAAGCTGGAATATAATGATATTAGTTGCAATCTCAATAAATCCTTATATATATATATATATTATACTGAAAAAATCTATCTCCTTCGGAGTTAATTGGACATATTTCGCTCACGAATATCAAACTCTTGGAAAATTCTAAATAAAAATCTTCGAGCAATTAATCTTCAAATCAGCAAAATCTTTCGATCGAAGGATTTTATCTTATATCGAGATATGAAGGAAATCTCCGCGCGATTTTCCAGACCGTTAGCTCCCAACAGCAACCAAGAGGCACGCGTTAATCACGGTTTTTCCCGCGATAGATCGTCCGTGAACGTGTTTTCGCCGCGATAATCTCACCCCCTGTCACGCGCCGTGCCATTCAACGATGCTATCTCTTACGTAGGATCTTGTATCCCTACAGGACGAAAGGGGATCAGTCGTGGAGGCAAGGATAACGATAACAATGTCCGCTTATTTGCGGAACGAGGAAGCCACGTGGCAGCCACGTGCCGCCACCCGCCGAGACGCCATGATTGCGGTCTATCGCACAAGTGTTTAACCCTTGAACGCGTGATTCCGTCAAATTAAACTGTGATCTCAGTCTTTCTTTCCTTTTTCGGCGTGTCCCGATGTTTAGATAAGAATATTGGATAAGTTAGGGATAGATAAAAATGGAAAAAATAGTAAAAATATTTAAATAAAAAAAATGGTATCTTTAAGAGGGTGAAATTGAGAGGGTTAATTTGTATCTTCATGATTTTTTTGGTTGATGAAATTTCACAATGTTGAGAATTCGAATTGGCATATTTTTCTTAGGTTCGCGATTTAAATTCATTTTTAATATATAATAGTTTGGGAAAATTATCTTTCTTCAAAAGAAACTATTGTATATTAATTTGTAATAGATTAATTATGGATTTTTTTCAAGACTAACTAACTAAACTAATTAAATTTTTATTATTATTTTCCAAATTTTCAATTCAATCATTAAAGTATCTGTATATACATGTTTCTATGATTAGAATTGTATTAAAAATAAAGTTTTTTAGGTTGACGATGTGAATAAAGTGACTGGTTGAATATGAATCTACCACGAAAGGTAGACTATTTGGAATCATGGTGTGTTATCGTAGAATAATTGGATGGTTTTCAATAGATGTGTCGTACAGAACATTTTTGGCGTGTAACGAGATGTAAATTTATGACGCAATTATCGATAGCCTATGTAAATCGTCGGCACGAAACGCGTTGGCCGATGGCAAGAAGAATGACGCAAAATTGATGAAGATTAATTGCTTGATAAAAGTGACCGCAACTCCGATTGGTTTGATAAGTTTTGCGATAATGTCGGTATTCAACCACCACATTTTAATAACATTCAACATTAATCGTTTATATAATACATTGAGATAATGTGAAAAATTTAAACTATTGACGGTCAGTAATTAATCATTTTTTTAGATTAGAATTTCACAAAATTCCAAAACACCAAATCAAAAAGATAATTTTTCAAAATTTTTCCACAATCCAAAAATACTCACTATTATAAATTTCTCAAAATATAATACGTAATCGTAACATTTTTATCTCTCAAAATTTCAAATCCACGATATCTCAAAATCTCTCAAAATCTCTCAAAATCTCTCAAAATCTCGAACAAATATTATAATGTCTACTTTATCCAAAATTATTCACCGATCTCTGAAATATTTAACCCCCATTTTCCTCCCCCTACCCTCAACTTCATACCCACCCAATCTGAGAAGAATCACCGTTCGGTTTTCCTCCCAAACAATCCACAAAGATCTCGATCCACCACTCCTCACTGTGCGCCGGATGCGCCGAGTGGCCGACATCTTTTCTTTTTCTCTTTCTCTCTCTTTTCTTTCCTTTCCTTTTTTCTCCCCCTTCCCTATCCATACCATCGGATGAATAGAAATAACGGCTCCTGGAAAGGGATCCGTGTTATTAGAGCGACGAGGAGAATTCCCTGGAAACGATATCGATGTTACAGTGTCGCAACAGCTGGGCTGTCAGCAGACGATGACAGGATCCGGCGGAACCGGCGAGCACGAGGGCGGCAAGAAGAAGCACACGAGGCCGACGTTCAGCGGACAGCAAATCTTCGCCCTCGAGAAAACGTTCGAGCAGACCAAGTACCTAGCGGGGCCGGAACGCGCTAAATTGGCCTACGCCCTCGGCATGTCGGAATCGCAGGTCAAGGTAAGAGGAGATGGCTTCTTCTCGCTTTTAGGGGTGCTTTTCCAAGCGATTAAAGGGTCGTTAGAATGAGACGTGTCACGTTCTCGTGCCTCGATTCGACGAGTTTGTGCTGGGATTGGGTGAAAAGATTCGGAGGGGAGGGGGAGATCCGATTGCGGGGTGGATAACGGTGTTAGATTTTAACGAACGAGAGTTGTGTTTCCTCGCGTTGATTTCTTCTCCTTTAATTCCCTGTTTTCTTTGGATGATTTAAAAGGGTCGATTAGGAGATGTAACGTGTTGATCGTTTAGATCATTTCGTTCTAATTTCACAAAATCGAAGATCGTTGATCACGCGTGACGATTTTCGTATCGCTGTGTGTTTTGAAAAGAAATATTGTGCTTTGGCTTCCTCCTCTTCCCCTTCATTTTCTTTAGATTGTTTTTTTTCGTAGTTTAAGGGGTCGGTTGATTGTCACGAATTTTCTTTTAACGATTACGTTTCGATTACATTTGGACGATTTGAAAGAAAAATTGCAAATTGGTTGAAAATAACGTGGAATTTTTTAACGAAAAATCTCTTTTTCTAAATGCTATTCGTAATTTTCCCAATTCTAATTATTTTCTATTAAAGAACGAATTTAATATGTACTTCTTCAATTGATCGATCTTTATCTTTTAAAGAAAATTGCTTCCAATCAAAACAATAGATGATATTCCCAAGAAAATTGTCTCTCTAGGTCCAACAATTTCTCTTCCATTTAACGTTCAAATATTTTCGATTTCTTAGGAAATAATCGTGAAAAGAAAAAGATATGGAGAAAAACAAGATAGAAATTGGGGGAAAAATGGAGAAATTAGACATTGGAATATCGCTCTAGAATGTGGCGTTTGCTCGATGCTTTTAATAAAGTTTACGCTAATCTCCGATAAAAACGTCCAAATGATTTAAGCGTGCGCCCGGCTAATTATGAGTAACAGATGTAGATGGGTTAATAAAAATTCATAACAGTTGAAGCGTTTTCGAGCCGGGCCCGATATTAATCCGTGAATGATGGAACGGACGGCGGGGGTTTGCGATAAAAAGTAAAATCAACTTAAACTGCTGCTGCTGTTTTTAACGGCCGCCATCGTTTAATATTTCCTTGTCGGCTTAAACGTTTAAGCGGGGATTACAACCTCGAAAAATCATCCGTTTTAATGACCAACAGACTTTTTGTTGCTTCGATCTCGATCCCTCTCGACAGAGGATACTCGTCGAAATAACTATTTCATTCTTCCTGTTATTTTCTTTTTTTTTTTTATTTTTCCCCCTCCCACTTTTCTCTCGACGACAAATTCGATATTTTTCGTCACTTCCTTTTTTGCTGCTCTAATTTGGAATACATTGAAATCGTTCGATTTTATTATATATGTCGTTAATTCCGGCGTATTAAGGGTTGTAAATCACGCATTGAAATTGCGATTATTAATGGCACGAATCGCAGGATAAATGGTTCGGTGTTATATAACACGGAACCATTTAAGGGAAATGGTATGTAAAGAAATATGACGGTACTGAAATTATTTTAGAATTCAGAATACTAAGAACAAGCCGAAACTGAGAATATTAATATTACTATTATACGTATTACAAAAATCTCCATTTATTCCAAAACAAGATCGGTATTAAAATCCTTGTCCTCGTAAATCGTGACGTAACGATATTAGCCGATAATTTTAGTTTAGAGAATGTAACGTAATAACGCGCGCAAACAAAAGAGCAGGGTCGAAAGGCAAAAAAAGTATAAAATTAAAAAAAACGTGTCCAGATCCGATTCGTAATCCAGCAAAGAGCCCCCGGGTATCATCGCGAGGATTCGCCTTTGGGTGGGGCGTCAGCTTTCCTCCGTTCTCCATTCTCGCACCCTCCCTCCGCCAGGGGAGGGCGTAATTTTAAAACGCATTTGTCCGCCGCCGGCTTACTCCATCAACGCCGCGAGCAAGCTTCTAACGAGGCAGCTTGTAAAAAGTTCGAAGGATAAAAGAAGGTGACAAAACAGCCGGAGACGTGTCAAGCTTTGCGGCACCTGCGTCATTCTCTCCCTTCTGTGTCTCTCCCCCACCCCACTTCCTTCCTTCTCCGTCCAAACCGTATGAAACACGGTTAAGAGGGACAAGGAGAAACGTCGAAAGCCTCGGTTCACGACAGCTAACCGTCACTTCTCGTTCCCTTCCAACCCTCTTTTTTCATCCACTATGCGCCTCTCTCTCTCTCTATTCCTCCTCTCCATCTTTTCCACCCTCGCCCTCTATCTCCTCCTCCTCCTCTTCTCCCCCACCCCTTGAAAACTTCTATTACCTATCTCTCCCGTATCCTTCTACACCAATCTCTCCTCTCCTCTCCTCTCCTCTCCCTTTCTTCCTTCTGCACCATCTCCTCCACTTTTACTCCCGCCTCTCGGTCTACATCTCGTAGTACTCGTGTAGAAGAAGAGTTAGAGAGAAGAAACTCTGTTTCTGGCATCGGGAGGATGCCTCGAGAAGCCTCGTGCGAAACGGGTTGCCCCGCTTTTCTTCGCTCCTCCGCTTCCCCATCTTCGACCCTCGCCCCCTTCGGCCTTCAACCGTTGTGTTCCTTCGAAACCTCCGCCACCCCCTTTCGCATCTCGCCTCTCTTTCTTCCTTTCTCTCACCCTCCCTCTCATTCCCTCTCTCCCTTTCCCTTTCCACCACTCCTCTCCTCCTCCCTCTACGCTTTGTGTGCGTGCACGTGTATAGATATATATATATATGTCGCGGCACGACGTCGATGTAGCGCTGTCATTGGCTCGTTCTACGCCGCCATATTTACATTTTTATTGAAAGCTACAAGTCTGCGTCGGTGAGTGATGGCCACGGGGATGAGCACACGCTTTCCCTCTACGCCACCCCCTCCCTCCCGCGCGTATCCAACCCGGTCCGCGGATGATACGGGAGGGGGAGGGGGAGGGGGAGGGGGTGGACGAGCGGATACGGGAGGGAGGAGAGGGGAGGGCGGGGAGAGGGGGTTAGCATTCAATTACCTCGGATTTCCTCGGCAAGAGGCGATTCACCTCCGCGTATATGCCATCTTCGAGGGGGGGGGGGAGGAGAGGGGGCGAGATTGCAAACGGATGTAACGGGGCAAGGCGGCAAGTTTGCCCGAAATATTACGACAATATATACCCCCGAGTCGCTGATTCAGAGGCATCGATTGCGCCGGATAGGCGTTGTACGGGATTGTATATATGGTCGAGGTTGGACGGGAGGAGGATATTTTGGTTTCGAGATCGAGCTGGAAAGAGGGGATATTAGGTTTCGAGTAGGTAGATATAGAGTCGCGGCGATCGTTGGATAGATATTTTTATCTGTCACAGTGAATCATAGTTAATTTTATTCATTTTCGAAATTTTGTAATTTAATTAATAGGACGATTGGTGTAATTGAAAGTAAATACGTTTTGTTAATATAGAAGGATTTTATTATATACTTTATTTAAATAATTATATACTTTATTATATACTTTATTATATTATATACTTTATTTAAATAAATAGTTACGATATCTGTTTTAGGAGGAGATTGAAGTTGTTCGATAAAAATAATTTGAATTTGAATAATATTTCGTCATCGATATTTCGAATATCGATATTATAATTTTATATTAAATAGGGAGAAAATATGAAAATAGAAGAAGGAAAAGGAAAAGGATTTGCGATGGATCTGCCGGCCGAACTTCTTTCTCGAGAAGCAAGGCGAGGTTTAATATTCCGGGCATCTCGCTGGCGCCTTGATAAACGAAAAAAAGATAAGAGGGGAGAGAGTAAGCAGCGGGGAAAAGAAATTAAAAATAAGGAAACACGGGGATCGGGAGCTTAAAGCTAATGATCAAGGTGTAATTAGCAAAACGGGGGGTGAAAGGAGAAAGTTGAAAGAAATTTTCCAGAAAACTTTCTAATTATTTATTATTCTCAACTATATATAAAATTGCTCGAAACGATTAAAAGTTGTTGGAGAAACGAAACAATTGTCGTTTAATAAGTTGGATTAATTATTCGAAAGAAATTTATTAGAAATTTAACGAAGATTTTATTTTTAAAATTGTTGAAAAGGAATAAAATTCGGGATAGATTTATTATACTAAACTTTACGATGTTTTATTTTTTAAAATTAAAAAAGAAGAAAAGGAAAAAAAAAATAATATAAAATACGTTTTAATAATTTTTATAAATGAAAAAGGAAGAATCGAACTTTTATTGTTAAGGAAAATCAAACTATGAAGATTGTTCCGTTTGATACACTAGCGAAACAGTCTTTCGTAGCGAACTTTGCTCGTTTGCCGCTCTGTGTTACGATCTTGTGTCGCGCGTATTACATTCTTACTTTGTGCTTTCTTCGATGTCAGCTGGTAGATAACAGGAATATATTCCCCTCTTATTGTTAAATGCTCGAAAGAAATAAGATATGGAAGATTCTTTCGCAATTCTCGGAAGGGAGGGAGAAACGATTATTTCTTACGAAAATAGCCTACTTTATATATAAAAATTTATTGCCTTTCACATCCTCGTAATAAGAGGTTCTATTTATATGATATAAGAAATTAAAAAGCTATAAAATATTACAAAATTTTTTCCAAAATTTAAAATATATTTATTATAAAACGATACTTTATATATAATGCACGTGCACAAAATTTCATCTTATCAATTTTTCAGGGACGCGTGTATGTGCACGTTTTTTAAATTAAAATTATTCCAAATAAAAGAAGAATTTAAATCGAAGAATCTTCTAATAATAAAAACAAAAAGAACTCGAAACACACGATATTATTTTATTCCATCATCATTTGAAAATAATGAAGACGTTTCATATAATTACAACGTTTGTTCACTTGCCCGTTAACCAATATATATCCATAAGTATCTAGACTCTCGATGACTATAGCGCGTCTATAGTATGGAACGATCACGCGTTGAAGTCTCTGAAAGCCTAAAAATGATCCCTCGGCTACCTACCACGCC